GTGCGCGGGGGGATGGCGCCCCCCTCCCGCGCCCAGCCCCGACGGCGGACGGCGTCTCCTTTTCCCTCGTAGGCGTTCGGAGCGGGGCATGAGCCCCTTCGCTGGGCGCGTTGGCGATGGAGTCCCACACCGCCAAATCCATGGGCTGCTTTTTCTGGCCGCTGCTCGTCTATCTCCCGCTCGCCCAAGGTAAGGAGAGGGTCCCGCCGCCGGGATGGCCGAGCTTCTGCGGGGTACGTGGCCGGCGAATCGGCGCTGGTTGGCCGTACTAGGCTCGCAGCAGAAGGGCTTCAGAGCCGCAGCGGTCCGCCGCCGGTTTAAACGCTGGTCCCTCGGAAGTAAGCCCCGCTGATTTCACGTGACGCTTCCAAAACTGTACATAAGCCGGGCTGACCGTCTTCCTTTGGGTTATGCGCGTGTTGTTTTTTTACTTTGGAACGTACTTTTCAAGAAAATGTGTTTTTGAGAGTTTTGTCCTTCTTCAGATGTTTGTTGAATCGAGTCTGTGAACGCTTGGGGTGGTGGAAAGGAATGGCTAAATCAAGCCTCCCCAGCCTGGTGCTCTCCACCTTATAACTCTTACTTTCTACAGCCAGTTGGCTGTTCTAGAGCCATGGATTGGCACTCCGGTGGGAAAATGTGTGAATTCTCCTTTCAGTTTTAAATAAAGCATCTATTACTTCTAACTTGCATATATGTGTATATGTATATACCGTAGAGAGTGAGTGAGAGCTATGTTCAAACTGTTTGTTCCTTGGAAAATCTTGTTACAGGATACCCAATTCTAGACATCAATAATAAGCCTGTATTAGACAATGACATTTTTATTTTTCAATTCTTTTTAGGAGCTGGAAAGGAGTTACGAAGTTAATGTGCTACATGAATTAATACAATGAATCCCAGCTGCAAAGACATGACTAACTTTCTATGACAGTTTCATTTTAAACTAGAACCAGCAATACCTATATATTTTCTTAGATCGAAGGACACTTGCTTGTGTCTTTTTTCCAACATACCCTCTGCCCCCAGCTTCAGCCATTTGTACTTTTCATCTCCTATAATTTACATTACCATTGAGAAGTTGATAAATATGAAATACCTAGATATGATTTTTCTTGGAATTATGTTATGTAAAAATTTTATGTGCACACATGTTAAAGACTGGATCCATGCACATTACATCTAGCTTGTTTAAGCCCCATATATTTCAGTGATATCAGCCTATGCTTAACTCTTCCCGTGAAATTAATGGGAATTGAACTTTTATGGGCTACCCACGATTTTCATTTATTTATTAGTTTATGTGCTGCTCAGTCCAGCCCTGAATTAGAGCTATCAGTAGGATTGCAACCTAATGTATATTTTGATTTGTGAATATTTTGACAAAAGCTGAAAAAAATGCAGGCATATTCAGTTCTGTTGTAGATCTTGCACAAAATACCAGGTAAGATCACAGAACCCTCAAGCCATGGTACTCAGGCTATCATGTCAGATCATATCATGGTATCCAGGGTCTTTAAAGGTTGCTGACCCCTGTTTTAAGACATTTTACATTCAACATATTTTTGTGTGATCTACTCAGGAAAAAATTGCTTTGCAGTTATTGAACTCTTAAGAGAAGAATTAGTCTTGTCCTTTGAATCAATTATATGTCCTATGTACAAATGTTAGTTGATATTCTAGGTTTAGCTATAGTTTACAAACACACAGTAAGATATGCTGTGACAACATCAAATAGCTTCTTTTCTTAGAATCACACTGAGTACAATAAGGTTCAAAGTCAATTAAGACTATATATTAGTTCATCCTTGAAGTGAGCCCTCTGAAGTTCATTGAGGCCTATTTCCAGGGATATGTGCACAGGATTGCCTCCCTCCACCTTCTTTTTGAGTAGACTAAATTGTTTACTCAACTATTGTAGCAATATAATGAACTTTTAATACTTTTGTTTATTTTTTGCTTTTCTCAACTACTTAATATCAAACTGAGGAATGTTGGATTTATTCAATATTGATTTAATGGAATAAATTGGAAGCCAAATCATTTTGGGACTAGGAGTGCCTTTTCTTTGATCCTTCTTGAATAAATGCAGCCATCTTAAACCCACAGAATATTATTTCCATGTTTCAGTTTCAACTGAAAGCATATAAACAAGAATTCCAGTATGAAGTGAACTGAGATTAATCACACATAGATTATTTAATACAATGTTCAATGGCAGACTCATGTTTGGAGCTGAGAAATTTATACCTTATAAATCTATGTATTATACAATGCTAACAGGAAGATTTGAAACAGACTGTAGCTGTGTGGAGGGCAACTGGTCATTCAGCTGCCCTCCACACAGCCATTCAATATCATTTCCTCCCCCTCCCTCCCACTGCTTCACCCAGCAGTATTCTGTAGCCATTGAGTATGCACAGTCTTCATTATCTGTTGTGAATTCCCCTTTCAAATCTTGTTTTTTTCCCCACTATCCTCCAAATATACTGATATCTCATGATTGTTGTCGGTTTGGCTCCATAAACAATGGTATTCATAGTCTGAACTTCAGAAAAGACAGGATTTATTTTAAGAATATGAATTGGCTGCAGGGATTAAAATCATGTCTACATTTCTCAGTGAAACATTGCATTGCCAGGGCCAGCTCTAGGCTAAGGCTGAGTAGGCACCGACCTAGGGCGCCAAATTTTAAGGGGCACCAAAATTGAAAAGACTTCCAAAAAACACAATAAAAAAGCAGTAACGATGCCTTCTGTAAGCCAGTGTACCCACTCAAGGGTTAAATAGAATTTTGCAGAATTGTTGCCATATCACAACAATTGATGCTGATGTAATTAAAATTATTTACTGTGTAAGTAGGGGGAAAATATCTGAGAAAAGAAAAAAAATGTTTGGGGCTGAAAATACTAAGTGTAAAGCTCAAAAACTTGAAGGAAGGAAGGAAGGAAGGAAGGAAGGAAGGAAGGAAGGAAGGAAGGAAGGAAGGAAGGAAGGAAGGAAGAAGGCCGCCTATTTGAAATTCCTAACAAAATTGGAAAATGAGCCAAACCATACAGGACGCCATAATATGACTTTGCCTAGGGCGCCAAAATGTCTAGAGCCGGCCCTGCGTATTGCTAATTTGTGTTGATAATATTGTTATTCTGAAGTCATTGTAGACATTTTGTAAGAACTTCTGAAATGTTATATAGCAATTCTTTTTTTTTTAGGAGTTGATTGCAAACCTGGCTGTCATCAAGTAAATGGGTTTTGTGAAGTTTCCAATGAATGCAGGTAAATTAACCGGCAGCACTTTTGCCAGAGAGAGAAGCAAAAGGACACATATTATTTCAATTAAGCCCTATTGCTGCTTAACATTTTTATTTGAGAATAATTTATCTAAAAATGCAATTCAGTAACAAATACTTTAATCAGAGTATTATTCATGCTTAAACTGTTAGCAATCATTTTTAAAAACAATGTATAACAACTGATCCAGAAAAAAAATAAGGTTTCTCAAACCAGCAGAACAAAAAAGAATGTGCAGTGTTGGTGAAAAAGATTTTGTCTTTTCCCTACATCCCTCTGAAATTTGCTCCAGAGGAGTGAGAGGCCTCTTGGGTGCATCATGATGTAGAGGAAAAGGAAGCCTCCTTGGACTGTTTGGATGTTGTTCGACAATAATAGATATATAGAAACAAATACTGATTTACAGTTTTTGTTATTCACCTTTTGAACTAAAAGCTCCATTCATTCACATATCGATGCATATCTTCTCAACTCCAAGTCTACCTGACCAATCTATATTTGAGTTCCAGAAGAATCAAGACAGGACACTACATAGACACACATTCAGTTTGATGGCTCCCAAGGACTATGATTCTCATATGTTTTCATAGCTTCCAACAAGGTTTGACCAGTCCATTAAAGCTTGGCTAGTCTCTGCTGGCACTTTTCTCACTCATGATGACACTTTTCCACCATAGTGACTTTGCTTCATTCAGTTCTCTTGGAAGTCATCTGTTTCTTTGGAAACATAACTTGTTGCATCTTCTTTGAACTCTATATTCTGGTACATATTTACCACATGCTGCGTAAGCTGAAATCTTCCTGAGCAAACATTTCTGCCTTTTTGGCCTGCTGTGAGTAAATCTCTTACATTCAATCTTTCATACATGTCCATTCACACAAGTAAATGACATAAAACTATTAGTTGCTATATTGTAGCATTATATAATGATTGGTGTTTTATGCTAGTGGCAATATGCTGGCATTAATATACTAATACATGGTTCATTAATATGACCACACATAATTCACATATTCTGCCATTGGTGGTGCAAGAATCATCTTTATTTGAAGTGTTTATAAACTACTGTGCATACAGAGTGAAATAATGCCCAGTGTATGTGATACGATGACATAATGCCCAGTTCACTGACAAATGCTTTTTCCCTTTATTTATTGGGACGCTTTAACTGAAATAGATGTATTCAGTGCATTGCAGTCTATTTTACTGCTTATTTTAAAAAGAAAATGAAAAGTCATAAAGCTGCTACAGTACTTGCCAGCAGATTTCAGCATCAGAATCTTGGGTAACTATGGGAGCCAGAGAAAGGCACTGAGATTGCAGGTGGCCATGCAATGTGGGTTGTCTATGTGATGTAAAGTGTGTTAATGAAGTGGTTATCATGGAACTAACTTTCAGTAAGAAAACAATGCCAGTATTCTGTAATGGCTTTCAGTCAGAATAAGCAATCTTATTTTGATCAGGTCATCTACAGTATAATAGCATCTAGCTTCTGAATTCGGTTTGTAAAAAAGTCTTAGCCTGATTTGCCATCTCATCTTGTGTTTTTGCTAGATGTCATCCTGGATGGCAAGGCCCTCTCTGTGATCAGTGTGTTCCTTTCCCTGGCTGTTTGCATGGAACATGTGTCAAACCAGGGCAGTGCATGTGTGAAGAAGGATGGATCGGGAGCCGCTGTGACACAGGTTTGGGGATAATTTCCTTTTCTGTTGAATGAAGATACTGATGCCAAACGGTTGGAGCTCCATCTGGTGTTGAAGATATCGTATTTATTTATTTGACATATTACTGTTCTGCAACAACTCTTGGTGGCTTACATAGAAAAAGATACAATACAAACATACCCAATTAAAAAACACACACACAATGGTACTAACAATAATACAAAGAACAAAGAATGAAGGAGATGGCAACATCAAATCAGATTAGGGGAAGACACTGAAAAGCTCAGTGTTCCCTTCCATTTCCTACAACAAAGTTGGCATGTTGCTTTCCTGGTATTACAGTAAACAGAAATACTAACTTCCTATTTATATTATAGACAGCCATTACACATCAGATTTTTTTCAAGACTGTCCAGAAATGTCGTTACTACTAAATATTGGTAGAGCATGGATTGAAACTGAACATTATAATGAGGATATTTTAGCAATATTTTATCATCTTTACTGGGTCCCAGTTACTTCTGGCCCAATAAAAAATGCTGGCAATAGCTTCATAATGAGGCCACAGAAATTGAAGGGGCACAAATAACATACCACAAAAGCATGTATAGACTGGCTCTGATTGAATCCATTTTTTAGCTTAGCCATGTTAAAGGAAACTTGATAGCTTTAAGCCAATAGCCATAATTCATCCTTTCCTTGCGGAGCTGCAATAATGAGAAAAGGATATATTGAGAAGATTGAGTGAAGAATACATTTTGGAATATGGAAAGGACTCATTACAAAAAGTTAAACATGTACGAAGTCCAAAATCAACTAATAACCCTGTAATGTTATAGCTTCTCCTTTGAGATATGATTCAGATGGTAACCTCTGGCTGACCTTGTTAGGGCTCAGACGTTAAGCATATCAGACCTTGTTAGTACTTGGATGTGAGATCCCCAGGGAATCCCAGGGTTGTAGACTAGATAAGAAGGTTAAATTAAAGGCGGTGGCAGCAAACCACTTCCCTACTATTGCCAGTACTGCTTGGAGTGTCTATATGCTATCTCAGACTGACTTTTGGCTCTAAATATTATTTATGGTTTTTAGCTCAAAGGCAGTGCGTGTACCTTGCGTGTAGAAGCTCCCGGCTTCAATTCCTGCTAGCTTTAGTTTAGAAAGAGTCAAAGATAAAATTGCTCATTCTTGTTGAGAGCTTGATACTTTTTGCGTAGCCCAATGAGGTGACTGGAAGAACATCTTCAAGATCATCTGGAATTCATCTGACCCTATGGCTACTGAAGAAAAGCAGTCTCCTGTAATGTGAGCTCTGACATGGACCCCTGCCCTTCCTGGTTTGTTTGAGCTGCCAGAAAAGAAGCTGGGGGGGCTGGATTAGGAATGCCTCTGTGAAGGAGAGGGTAGTGCCAGGCATCTTGAAGAAGGAGGTGACATATCCCCCTCTGAAGTGGCCACCAGTACATGTGGCAATATAATGCAACTTCCACTCCATCTTTAGAAAGTGATCAGGTCTCAGCTGCAGAGAAGTGGCTTATTTGAATTCTTGTCACTCTGGTTTCAAGCTTGAGCATGGGACAAAAACTGCTTTGATAGTTCTTGTGGATGACTTGCAATAGAATCTGGATGAAAGGATAGCAGTTATTCTGGTCCTGCTAGATCACATAATGTTTTTTGGGACTGTGTGTGACGGCTGGAAATCAGAAACGCTATTTTATTAGAGGTTATATTCCTTCCTAATGAAGGAGTTCCAATCAGTAGATGTAGTGGTTCTCCTAACCCAGTTTCTGGAAATGATCAAACTGGTTCACACAGCAAGGGGAAATGGCTGTTCACTCAAAAACCATCTGGCTCCAACATTGTCTATGGACGTCTGTGCTATCCCTAAAAGAGCAGGTCCATGATCTGGGGAACAGGGATACGTTCCTGTGTTCTCTGCATTGTGGTATTTTGATGCAGGCTCCACTTTTTCATATTTGTGCTACAGTGTTGCATGAAAATATGTAAGGGAAGGAATTTAAGCTGTGATACACATTTTGTCACTTGTCCCCTTGCTCCTTTCTCCCAAACATCTGTGTCTGGGGATTCTTTTGGACACATGGGTCCTGCTGGAAAAGCAGTTGGAAGCCGTAGCCAGGAGAAATTTTGCCCAATTTTGGCTGATGTGCCAGATACTGTGATACACTCACTCATGCCCTCATTCCCTTGTGGCTGGACTACATCAGCATCCTGCACTGCCTTTGAAGACTATTTGGGAGGGCTTTAACTGGGAACAGATTGCTGACAGACAAAAGCTGATTCAGCAGAGTAAATTGCTCTTTTGGTCACTGCAGTGGGTACCCGTAAGTTTCCAAGTACAATTCAAAGTGTGGATTACTTATAAAGCTTTTGATGGTTTGATACTGGTGACTTTCAGGATTGCTTGCTCCAAGGGACCAGGATGGTGATTCTTTTGATGGTTTTAATATTTTTGTGCTTTGATTGTTGTTTTATGTATATAAGCTACCCAGTCTTATGATTGGAGTGCCACAGAAATCATGACACATAAACAAGACATTTAGTTTAGCTCCTAAAGAGCCACTGCCTTTCAGAGCAGGCATGATTGGGTAAAACAGAATGTTTCTGTTTTGTACTTTTTCCTTAAATGTAAATAAGCAAATATTAGTTATTGCAAGAGAAAGATAATTGTAATCATAACAAGAGTGCGTTTCTGTTTTTCTTTTTTTAACACAGTTGTTCATCCTTGTTCTTCCAAGCCTTGCTCAAATTACTCAAGGAATTGCATTGAGACTGGCAATGGTGGATACATTTGCTTGTGCGCTCAAGGCTATATGGGCAAAAACTGCCACATGAAAAAGGGGCCCTGTATTGTTAATGGGTAAATATGGATCAAGTTTGTTGATTTACTCTTGACTTTGGTTAGTCTAATACAGTATTTTTTAGTTTGACACGTCCCAGATTTATTGGCATGGCAGCTGCTGGAATTCCCAGTGAAAATGGCTGAAGAGATTTTGAAGATCACAGCCCTACTATGTCTGTCTCTTTATTTCCATGCTTGTTCTCTTCCCTTGTAAAATGAAGGCCAGGGAAAGAAGGTGACTTCTACATTGGAAGGCAAATACACTATTTAGATAAATTTGATGTATTCATTTGCTTTTGGTGAGTTACTCACCAGCCTTGTTCACTTTTGGCTTTTGTGTTTAACTGAGAGAAAAAATCCTGAAGAAGCAGAGTTGGCCCTTTTGCCAGTACAAGGAGACTGCTTTGCTGCAAATTTGTTTTTCTCTAGCACTAAAGCAAATTAATACAGTTAAGCTATTTCTTAGTTCATGCAGTAAGAAAAGACAAGAGTGGGTGTCATTTTGATTGGAAAGTGGTGGGCAGCACCACTGTTGAGTAGAGGAAATGATTGAATCCAGATTCTGTATGTTCCCATTTCTTTCTTTCCAGCAGAATCACATATATTGGAACGAGGGTTCACTTATATTTTCAATATTTATCATGCCTTTCCATGAAAATGGAGAACTTGTATATATTGTTTCAGAACAAAAGACTTCAAACTACTAGTTAGCAGCCATGTTTTATGTGGTGTTTTTAAGCCTAATCTGAAAGTCACTACCCAACTGTGTTCCAAAATTGCAGCTTTGGCCAAGGATCTTCACATCTGTAATACAAAACCTAGACTTTTAAGCAGTTAGGCCATGGTTATGTATTTTTTTTTTTCAGATTAAGACATTAATTTCTTTCCAGTTGTTTTTTCACAGTAAATTATACAATGAGATAGATGAAATACATGAGGACACAAAACATAAGAGTAGAAATTCATCTAAATTTTTTTGGTCTTAATTTATATTTTAAATCTAATAGCATTGCAGATATTATTTGTTAGACTCCAGTAACTTTTCAGTATTCAAATTTACTTTTCACAATTCAGTTTTAACGCAACAAAAAACCATACCACAAGAATATTCTATTGGTTCTAGACTGAACATATCCTAGCTTTCTGAGATATTTAAGTGAAGATATTGGTGACTTAATATCTGATTTGCTTTCAAAAGGTGAGATTTGGTTTCCAGGATCATGGTCTGAAATATGTAGATGGACTGCTGGCACAAGATGGAATGTACCTTGCAGGAACTGGTAAAATATATTGATCAGGAAGACTTCAGATAGGAACCACTGAGTGGTGGAAAGGCAGTAAGACCTCAGATAAAGACTTGTGCACTGTAGAAGTTGCTAAAATGAAGTTTCTGAAAGCACACAAAGAAAAATCGGCTCAAAAAATTTATGGCTTTCATTTGTTTTAAACTAATATTCAGACCATGGGAAATAAGATGAGTCTGAGCTCTTAGTATAAAAGGCAGATATGATTTAATAAATACAGCAGACAGATGGTGTGATGATTCTCTTGGAATGTAGCAACTGAAGGATATCATTTCTTCCAAAGGAACAAAAGCAGAGGAAAGGAAGAGGAGAAGGGTTGTATTTTAAAAAGATCTACTGCTCAGAAACCCAAGTGAATGAAATTTACTGTAGAATACATCTGGGATAAAGTAAATGAAGGAACATATAAAAGCAATACAGTTGTTGTCTACTCTTCCATGCCCAACCAGGGAGAAGCTATGGATGATGCATTTCCAAAGCAAACTGAAGATCTTTCAGAGAGTGCAAAGTTGATGAAATTGTAGTAATGAGAAATTTTAATTACCCAGACATCAGTTGGAAGACAAACTCTGCCAAGCATAGTCCTTCAGGAAATTCCTGTCTAGTCTTGCTGACAGCTTTCTCTTTCAGAGGGTGAAGGAAGGTAGAAGAACAGGGAAGATTTTCTTGAGGAAGTGGAAGTAGCAGAAGCACTGGAGGAAACTAATCATGTAATGATGAAGTTATTTATTTTAAGGGAAACAAAGTAGAGTCAAATACTTAACCTTAGACTTTTTGAAAAAAATGGTTTTAATAAACTTAGCTATGATAAGTAGGATCCCATGACAGGAGAAGGTAATGGGAAAAAATGCTCAAGATGGGTGGAAGCTCCTAAAGGAGATTCTAAAATCATAATTGCAAACAATTCTAGTGATAAGGAAATAATGGAGGATAGCAAAAAAGCCAATTGTCTATTTAAAAAAAAATTGGTGAAGCTTTAAAAATAAAAAGGACATGTACAGGGAACTGAAATAGGGCAAGTCACAAAAGAAGAATACAGACAGGTAGCCTGGAACTGAAGAGCTAGTGTCAGGAAAAAGAAAACTGAGGATGAGTTGTGGTAAGTGAAGTATGTTAGGAGGAAGGATGTAACAACATAATAAAGAGATAAATCTGTGAACACCTTTAAGTTAATGTGCTAATGAGAGGGCGGAGCTGGCGTCGCGGCGATACGGCGGGCGATCCTGGGCTCCCAGAACCGCAGTCGATATCTCCTCCCCTGGACGGTCCCGATGGACCTAAGCCGTCCCGTAGAGATGGCGATTGCAAA